TGTCAGAAAACCACTTACTCTTTGATTGGCTATCTTATTAACTTATGATGATGTCATGTCAGTAGCATCATTTGGCTGTAAGCGCGATTGCCCTTGGCTAGCTACTAGCCGAGTCGGCTAAGACGATGTCAATGGGGACTTTTTTGGGGTAACCCTCCAGGTGCCATTTTAACTGGGAATCTGGCACATCATAGTCGCATGGTGCGAGAACTCTGCCATGGTATTTTTTGAAATGCGGCAAGCTGATAATGTCTGTCCAATCATCCTCACTCAGTAGCTCACGTCAGCCTGTGAGCCTGAGTTTGGCCCATCGTGGGGCCTGAGTTTGGCCCATCATGGGCTGAACATCATTCACGTACCAACCGCTGCGGCCTCTTGGCGCTTCTCCTCAGTGAAGGGGGTGCCCAACAATTTGTTGAGGACTCCAAAGCTCCATTGGGCAGACGGTGATGTGGCTGTCATCGAAATACATAGATACCATGATTGCCGGAAAGCGCCTGCCCCTAGCCTTGGCTAACCGGGAGTAGCGGTTAAAGGAAGTGACCGCCAGCGGCAAGCCGAACTACACTTGGAACGCTGGTCCTTTCCATTCTTGGTGGTACCATAGCACCACACAGGCCAGCGCCTTGCGGTGTGACATCGGCAGTGGCAAGAGGCAGCCGGCCAGTCATCCCCAGCGACCCTGCTGCGCAAACCGCTCCCAGGTGCACTCCTGCAAGCTGGCTGCTGCTGCCTGAATGTGGAGGGCCGGTCGTAGGGGGAAAACCAACTTGTTGCTATCCCTTGAAGATGCGGACTGGCCACCCCTTGCCGCATCATCGATGAGCCTCTTCTTCCCGGAGGCCTGCGTGGTCACGCACCTCGGAATGAGGCGATAGGGGTCTCCCTCGGCGTACCTTTTTGAGCTGCAGCAGATCCATACAGGGGGTGCACAGTCCCCATCCCCGCTTTTGTCCTCGATGGTGACGCCATTCATCCCGACCAACATCTCGACATCTTCACAGGCCTGGATTCCATGGCAATGAGTCGCCACCGGTGTCCCGACGCTGCGAGGTCTCGGTTAAACAATGTCCTTCCTAATTCAAATTTCTACGGCAAAAAAAAGGTGGCTTGGTTACCACGAACCTATTACGACACGCGAAGATTTCACTAACATATGGGACGCCGCTAGGGAGCCGAAAAGATCAGCGCCGTTCAAAACACCTCCTACAATACCAGTGAATGAGCCGAAATGTCATGCCTCTGCTTGCTAGACTTTGGTCGGACAGCTGCAACATCCGACTATCGAATAAGTGAGACAGACAGTGAAAAAGCCTTGTGTATAGCACAGCATCGCACCTCGCCGGGTTCTCCCGCAAGGCTGTCCATCATCCGCGATGGCATGGAGCTGCCCCAAGATCCAGGCGTAAGCCGCGTTGTCCACGTCGACTCTCCGCTTTTGGCATCGAGTCCAGGGCCTTCCGGGTATGCCTCGGAGCGTAGCAGTTTCGAACCTGGGCGGCCATCTGCGAAGGTTCTGGGGATCTCTCTTGTTCTGGACTTCGTGGAGCAGCGTGGAGCAGTCCAAGGCTGCTGCTGTAAAAGCCGCTGCCCGCAAGGGAAGGTCATGCCCCGGGTCCAATGATGACTTGGCCCAGCGCAGGGTTGACTCCCTGAAACAGCTGACCCAGTCCGCCCTCTCTTCGGTGTCCCTCTGCTGGAGCCATGCAAGACGATTGGCCTGAGGTAGGCTGGCTGAGGTTCGCCGGGCTCTGGCATGGTAGCGCATGACCACGTCCAACGGCACGAACACGAACTTCGTGGTGTCCGTTCTCAGCGTCTCTTCATCGAGGCGCATTGTCCAGCGCTTTAAGCGCTTTGGCTCCCCCTACGGCGTAGGCAAGCAACAGGGTGAACAGCCGGTCCAAGTATGTCTCCCAATCTTGGTGCCCTGGCTGCTCTTCATCCGGCTCCTCCGTCCACAAGCCTTCACCAAGCTTGGACCGATGTCACGCAGAGGAGGCTTGGTCATCTCCCTGGAGGCCCTAGACACTTCAGCTTAAATCGCACCCAAAAGGCTTCCTTGGCCGTCCTCAACTCGGTGTCTCCGAGGAGAAAATCAAGATCCTCGATGGCGACTCTGGAGCGGTCCTGCTCGGCGGTCTTGTAGTGCAACGAGACATGCCAGGCTCTCCCCAATCTGGCTGCCTGGATAGAAGCATCAGCGCCCAACTAGATCTTCAATCGGCGCCGTCCGCCGGCACAAGGGAAGCAGCGAAACACGGTACAATCACTTGGGCGTCAGTATTCTCAATTGAAATGAAAATGGGGGGGGGGGCCTTGGTACCAGTACTAAACGACTCATCCCTCTACCTCGCGAAAAAGCGGGGAAGGATTCCTCAGCGTGCGCTCGCCGGTTCCTTCCCACTCCCGCTGCTGGCGGGAGGTAGCGCCCCCCGGCCTCCTCCCTGGTAGCTCCAGGTTGCCTGCCACGGTACGCATGATATTCAGAATGCAAACACTGCCGACTGGCTCTGATCTGTGCCCTCACGCTTGCAGGAATGCAGCGGTTTCCCAACCCTTGCCCTCCCGCTTTATGCACGGAATTTCATTCCGGCCGACCCACATCTGGTGTTTAAGACCAAAAATCGGCTCACTAGAAAAGGAAACTAGCCGGACGCCCCTTCCTTGACGTTGCTGTAGATCAGCGACGGGTCTGGGCGGTCTTGCCCCTCACAGTGGCGAGCCTGTCCCACTTGCTGTCGGCCGCATTCAGGTCCAGGCATTCCGGGATGGCCAGAAAACCGCCCGGTGTTCTCGGGTGCCCGCTGGGGCGGGCCCTCATCGGTTTCCACCTCCTCCATGGTGCCAGCAGCGGCTGCAGCGGCGTGCAGCTCCTCCGCTGAGGGTCTGGATGACATGGGTCCAGCCGGGGCAATGGGCAGCGGCGGTGAGGGTTCTGCGATGGCGTCGCAGGGCGGTCACTCCCACACAGGCAGCCCCATCTCTCGCAGCTTGTCCTCCGTCAGTGCCCTCTTGCGCGTGTTGAAGTCCGGGCACAATGCTGCGCCGTTCTTCAAATGTCCTGTGAGGAAAAGCGCCCCCAACCTCGGTGGCATGGCTTTGATTGAAGGTGCGGGTTGTGCACGAGCGTTTGGCTCAGGGAAGCAGCTGGCCCAGTAGTGCACCAGCTGCTGGTTCAAGATGAGTGGGAGCAGCCCCTCTAGACCAGCCGACAAGGAATGACAATTTTTCTGTTGGCCTACGGGATCGCCCACACACCAGGACGGCAATGCCACGCAGTGCCCCTGGTACCTACTGACGCCGCTGGTGGCGCCGGAAGGGGAAATTGAAAACCAACTGCGGCATCTCACGTCTGGATCTCCCCGGCAATCACACGCCTAATGCGTGTAAATATAGTCATGGCAAATATTAATCACATTGCAGTTTCAGCACGTTACACAGACATCATACACTCGTACACACACATACATACAAACAAATACATACATACACACACATGCATACATACATACATACATACATACATACATACTTACTTACTTACTTACTTACTTACTTACTTACTTACACACATACTACAAACTTACATAGATACATGACATAGATACATAGATACATGTTACATACACACACATAATACATATATACCAATATAATACCACCCAACCAAAACCCAAACAAACAAAGAACACAGGCAGACAAACAAACAAACAAACAGACAAACACACAAGGAACAACCAACACACACTTGTTGAACTGTTGAACCATCATAGCAAACAAAGACTAGCAACAAACGTCACACAACTAACACAGTTGGCAACAGCAACAACCAACAACAGCCAGCACTAAGCTAAAAGGAACGATCAAGAACCAAAAGCCAAACCCTGAAAATGACAAGTTCCCGACAAAAAACGGCAAACACCGACAAAAACCGACAGAATCCGTCAACAGCGCAAAACTGGCCCAAGAGGACAAAGTCATGAACAAATATAACACTTCAAGGTTCCCATCGCGATGGCCTGGTCAGAAGCTGATTGAAATGACGCTGCGGCGCCTCTGCTGGAGCTGCTGCCCGTCACAAAGCTTTACCGCGTGGTTGAAGAAACTAAAAACTGACATGGACACACGATCGTAGATCCCTTCAGGAACCACTGCTTGAGCGTGTTCTTGAAGTAATTGACACCTTGTGTCTCTGAGCAGATGGTTGTCGACCGGTCCACATTTCTCTGCCTCCACTCACCGCCGTACGTGGCGGTCATTAGTAGTTTGATTGTTTCCCCGGTTTGCCTTGGTCGGCTTGCACTTGTACAGGCGCTGTGAAGACTTCTCCATCTGATGACATCTTCCTTTGACTGAAAAATGTGCTCTGCGCAGCACGCGTTTTCCTGTCTGTAGCTATGGCTGTAGCTATACCAACAGCTCGCTGACCCTAGAACATGACCAAATCACAGATAGCACAATTTGTTGGCCTTGCCTTGACAGAGCCGAATTTCTGCCCTAGTGCCAACCTGGTCGTTGAAGCAACTCCTTTTCACACGCAAGACCAGGTTCTTGTTTGGTCTGAATTTCACGCAAGGGAGTGTGAGGGGCACAGGACCATGACCCGCGTCCGACTATGGCTTATGCGATCTTTGGGCAGCAACCGTGCTTTGAGGGGCCTTGGGCGGTGGACTGGGTCTTCGACCATGTGTGGAAAGAGCGCTTGGAGCCAGCCGTGAAATGAAGTTGTTCGGACTTGCTGTTGTTCCAAGCCAGGATCAATGCTCAGGGCGCCAGGGACCCTCAAAGAACAGGCGCCAGGGCTGTTTTAAACGTTTACGTTTCTGGTGTTTAAAGGTTCGAGACAAAGCGCCTCTTGAAAGTGGCTCCCTCAAGTCAACAAAAGGGGCCCCTGAAAGCGGCTAAACCCCAACGCGCTGAGCGAAGCTAAGTTTTTGCGGGCCCTTCTGTGTCTTCTCTGAGTGTTGGCCTGGCAATCTTTGCGCCGCTGCCCGCGCCTGTCTTGCTGGGCCATTGGACTTTCTTCTGCTGCAGTCCTGGCAATCGACCGACTGGCTTGGCACGGGCGCTTGATCAAACTGACCGCATTTTTGAGGTTCACACCCCCAGCTTTTAGGCAATCCAATAGATGGGCGGGACCTGAAAATGTAACATTACATTTTTGAGGCGCTTTCAGCTTTTAGGTGGGGCGCTGGGCAAGGTTCACAGAGTTTGTCCGAGTCAAGTTTATGGACAAGCAATAGGCAAATCCGCCGACCCCTGCCTCTCGCCCCAGCCTCCTGCAAAGGGGACCGGCGCGGGATGCAACTGGAACGAAGTGATTGGAATCCATGATGAATTTTTGGTTTCTGGGAAACACGCCCGAAAGCACAAAAAGTGGATTCCGGTCTCAGGACCGTGGTCCTTGGTCAGCTAAAACTAGGACGGTCCCGGGGTCGGTCCCAGACACCGGTCCCACAACCGGCCCTGGGACACAGGGCCGGCTGACTTTTCCGTAAAGGCGCTGAGGGTCGGCGGCAGCAGGCGGGAGCCTGGCTCCTGAAATAGCATGTCGCCGCTAGGCAATTAGCCTGCTAGCTTTAGCTATAGGGGCTGCACCCTGGTTCCGCCGACCCTTGCCGCTTGGTCGTGATGCGCTGCCTAAATCCGGCACCTCTGCATCACCAGCTCGGGCTTGCGGGGAAACCCTCGCAGAACATCGCGTATATGCAGGGTTTAGGCCATGTGGCTGACATCATCAGTGGGTGATGCTTCAGCGGGGCTTGGTCTGCATCATCAAGACTCTTCCTTCCAAAAAGCCGCTCACAACCCATGAAGTGTTTTTTTAGGTGTCGGAGGGACGGAGGGATATACGCGAGGCTCATTTTCGGGCATGTTGGCGCCAAGCGCTGCCGGGCATGCTGGCGATGCTGGGCCCTCGCTCTACAAAACGCTGTAAATACCGTCAAAAACTGCTGCGCTGAGCGGTTTTGTTCTTCTGTCCGTTTTGCTGTTGCTGTGGCTGGCTCGCGCGCTGCGCGGTCTTTGCTTTTTTCCTGTTGGTTTTCGGGCCTTCTGGCGCGCGCGCGCGACCCCAGCCACAAAATGCTGCTATTTACGGTGTGTTGTTGCATTTGCGTTTTCGGGCTGGCTTGCGGGCTGCTCTTTTTGGGCTGCTTTTTCTGGAGCCTCTGGCGCGCACGCGCGCGACCCCATGTCAGCCTTCTGGGTTGGGGCCCGGCTGGGGCCCAGGAAGCTGGCATCCCCTGCATCATCTGGGGTTGGGGTGGGCAACATGCATAACCTAACCAACCATATCATATCACAGAATATGTTTCTCATACGAAAAAAACATGACATGACATGGTATAACTTCAAAGAGGCGTAGCCGGCTAGAGGCCGCAGGCCCAGAAAATACGGAAACCACATGCGCAAAGCACACAGTCATTTGGGAGCCATGGCCAAAGATAGAAAATATCTTAATCCTTCTGTGTGTTTTGTCTTAGTCCCTTCATCCTTGATTGGGGGGGGGGGTCAAAAATGTACGTTACATTTTTGGGGCTCGATTTTGAGGCATGGGAGGGGAGGGGGTGCGGGGGGTGAAACATGCCAAACATGCGCCACGCCTTTCCCACCGCAAATCTTTGACGTGGCTCACTCTCCATGTAGCGCTGTTGCAGGCCTTAGTTTTCAGAGTTGCTGTTGCCATGGATTGATGGTCGGCAATTGCTCTTCGCCTTTTGCGCTTGTCACTCCAAAAGGTCTAGCAAGAGGCTCGGTGGCCAATAGCACGACGTGGCCGTGTGGCTTTCGTATTTTGGCAGAGGGTCGTGCCCGGTCAAAGCCTTGAGGATGTGGAATAAGAACCCCACTATGCCACGCAACATGTCACGTAGATGCATGACCAGCACCATGTGCGGGGTCATTTTGTGGACATCTACACCATGCGGATCTGCACTGGGCGCAATCATGCTCTGTTGATAGGGCGCGGCTCCATCAAGGGGAGAGGTAGACCAAGTTGACGTTGTTCTCATCCTGGACCTGCTTGGGGCCCGGCTCAGTCGGCTTGACAGGGCTAGATGTAGGCCCCAAGTCAACTATGTAAAACTTGCCAAACTGTACCCAAGTCGGCTTCTTGCGGTCCTTCTGCTGCTGGCGCTTCGACTTCTTGCGGTCCTTCGGGCTGCTGGCGCTAAGCGAGGGCCGCTGGCCTTGGTGTACCTTCCACCCTCGCCCAAAAATGTTTTCTCCAAAGGCCCATTTTGATAGCACACACAGCAGCAAGCACCTTTTTGTCTTTCCAAGCACTGCAGCTGTTCCATGCCATCATCGCCTGCCAAGTTTGTTTTGCTCCAGCCCTCCAAGAACTGATCGTGTTGCAATGTTGGAACCCGCTATGCCAGAAAGCCCTGAGACCAAGTATCACCCAGTCATGCGGGAACTTAACGGGAAACCAAGGATGTGGTTCCGATCCAATGATTGAGCTTTATGATGAAGAAGGAACTGGTTACAATGGGAATTCACAAGGCATACTATACTTCCCAACCAGCTTGCACTGCCAACCCCTGCAAATCCCAGCAACACAAGCCTAAAATTTGCTGCACCATCTAAATAAACTGAAGTTGGTTATGTCAGGCAAAGGGAGCATAATGGACAAGCAAACAGCCGTCTTCCTCCTCCTGTCACGAGAAATAATCAGCTGCACGGTTGCTTTTTGACACCGCCCAAGCCCATGGATTGGCGACCTTGCGGGGGCTTGTCAAAGATCTCACGCAAACTTTGCCCAGCGCGCTTTGTGCCACTGGGTTGCTTTGTGTACTAAACTGAATCACGATCCAATCGCCGCGAGCTGATTGCAGAAAACACACAAGTCTGTGCAGCCATGAAGGAACACGCTGCCCGGAGAAGGCTTGTCTTCATTGTGACATGTCCATTTGCTTCCAGGCCACCTCGCAAGCTTCTCAAAGGCTTGAGTCAGCGAAGAGAGCTCACGGGCAAACCGCGCTGACATCGCAAAGCTCTTTGTCTCTGTGAGCACACTTTTGTGGTGCAGCGCATCAGGGCCAGGCCGCCGCAGGTCCATGCGCGAAAATTGCGCCTTGCTACGGCGCCTGATGCCTGGAAAGGAGCACGCTGCTCAAATCATCCACCACCACATAGTCTGCCTTGCACATGTCAACCGCCCGAAGCCGGCGGCGATCCATCACCACAGGTGGCTTTGGAGAACTTGCGGAGAAGATGTGGCCAAGTCGTGACTGGGGCAGTGCTGCCAGGGCATGAAGTTTGGCTTGCTTAGCCACCGTGTTGGCAAGGGAAGCCCTGAACTTCTTTGTCTGCTGCTTGCGGACACCATCAGGCGGCGGCCACAGTTTGCCCAAGGAGGAGACAGAAGGCTGGGCTTTGTGCTCCTTGTCGCCAACCATCCTAGTTGCAATGCTGGGCCACCTCTTGGACGGCAGCTGAACCACCCAGGCGGACCGTGAGGAGCTGGTCAAGCGTGCATCCATTCTCCAGCAACGGGCCCATATGCGTCTTGATGAGCTTGGCCATCTGACCCACAGATCGCTCCACGTCTGCAGTTGGTTCAGTTTGAGGACAAGATTAAACATCTGTGGGGGGCGGATGCTCCACGAGAGGTTCAACTGGCCTGGAGCGCCATTCAGCGGGCCAGCAAAGCGTCACGTGCTACTTGTCATTGTATTCCTCGAAACATAGTGTTGTCGTTCTTTTGACTGTTGTGTTGAAGTTGCACCTGCAACACATTACTACATCACATAACTCCTCACTCAACTGTTGAATAGGCGTGGTTTTGTTGGATTGCTTGGACGCCTGACAAAATCTGGCTTGGTTTTTTGCGCAGAACCATGTATTCAACCACAACAAGTAGAAAGTGTTGCCTGTTGCAGCCTGTTGTTGTTGCTGCAAGTTGGAGCTAGTCTTTCTTTTCTGTCATGTTATGTTGCCTTCCATATCCCCAGTCATCCAAGTCACCATGGCCTTGCCAAGGCCAGAACACGAGCTGAATTTTCTGACAAGCCCTTGAGACTGGACTGGGCAACCTTTGACATTGGCTTGTGGAACAAATCTGTTTGCCTTGCAGAGCAGGGGTTGCCGGATGAGTCACGGCAGCTTCAGGACTCCCTGAAGAAGAAGGCTGCCCGCCTCGCGAAGCAATGGCCCCTTGCCACGCTATTCAAGAGCTGTCTGACAGACAGGCTTTGCAAGAGGAGTTCAGCTCCTGCGCCATGTTGCTTGTTGACCAGTGGAGGCCAGGTGAACCATCGCTTTAAATTTGCTTCTGGTTTTATTTGTTTCTGGGTGCTGCTTTTTGAGTTGAGCATGTGCATGTGTTTGTGTGTGTGCATGTATCACCTGCAGGGAGATACAGCAGACGCCAAGCGCCGCGCCGAAGAGCCTGACAACCGCTCTTTGTGGGGAGCGCTGCCTGGCCTGACCACATCACGTCTGACAAACAAGTTTATCTTCCCGCTTGTGTGCTGGTACATGTCAGTAGCAGGTGTATCCCGGCACACTCTCAAGGCAGTTGCGCAAAAGGACTGGTTGGCAGTGTCTGTCATGCGTGCCATGATCTGGCCATCCTCATAGAGGTCTTTTTCGAAGCTCTTCAAAAAGGCCCCAGCGTCGGTGGCCCAATCGGCTAGAAGTCCCGCTGTCGCTGCCTGCCTGGGCCCCATTTTGCTAAGCAGCTGGCGGGCCCGCTTCCGCTGCGAGGAGCTCAGTCTCACGTCGGACAGCCTATTGGCCAGAAGAAGGGCGATGCTTCCCTGAAGGAACACATAGTTCTGAGCTGGCACTATCGCTGATTCCCAGCGCTGAGGAGCCCACGACATGTGCCGCAAAAGCGTGGTAAGGCCGGCGCCTCGCTCTCCGTCACGATCCAAAATCTTCTTCCCTGGTCGGCTCAGAACAGAAACAGAAAACTGCACAAAGCCTAAGCTCCTACATGTGCGACTTCAACATCCATCTCAAGCAGTGTCAGACTAAGATTTCCTCTCAGCATCTTGGTGTGTGTGTCAGACGTGTGTGTCAGACGTGT